GTCCGGTCGTGGGACCTGAACTCTGGGCCTGGGCATTGTCCCTCAGCTCTTCAGCTCAAGGCTAGCACTCTACCACTTGAGCCACAGTGCCACTTCCGGCTTTTTTTCCCTGCTTATGTGGTGCTGAGGAATCGAACCCAGGGCCTCAGGCATGCAAGGCAAGCACTCTACCACTGGGCCACCTTCCCAGCCCCCAAGGTTTTTTTTTTTTTTTTTTAAATTTTGTTCCATAAAATCATTTTCATGCTCAAAGGGGAAAGAGAGGAAGCATTACTTTTACTTTCCTTTTTCCTCTTTCTTGTCATTACTGGGGGCTTGAACTCAGGACCTGGGCACTGTTGCTTAGCTTTTTTGCTCAAGGCTAGCACTCCACCACTTGAGCCATGGCCTCACTTATGGCTTTTTGGTGATTAATAGGAGGTAACTTCCCTGCCTGGGGTTGCTTCGAACCTTGATCCTCAGTTCTCAGCCTTAAGATCTAGGATTACGGGCATGAGCCACGGGCCTTGGTGGCTACCTTAAAGAGAAAAGGAAATCCTAGACAGATGAATTAAATAAAGTTAGTCATCATGTAGAAAAATGGCCAGCAGCATGGGCTGGGAAGTTGGCTCAATAGTAAAATGCTTACTTTGCATGCATGAGACCCTGGGTTCGATTCCTTAGCACCACATAAGTAGAAAAAGCTGGAGGTGGCGCTGTGGCTCAAGTGGTAGGGCTAGCTCTGAGCTGAAGAGCTGAGGGACAGTGCCCAGGCCCAGAGTTCAGCTCCCACAACCCGCAAAAAAAAGAAAAAGAAAAATGGCCAGCAGAATCCATTCATGTTCTCCAATATCGTAATAAATCCATATTTGTATGTGTGTGTGTGTGTGAGAGAGAGAGATAGAGAGAGAGAGAGAGAGAGAGAAGTGTCAGACACAGACATGAGAGTCTCTATCACCTTTTTCCCCGCTGTGGTTCCTAACCTACTTCCTTACCTCCTCTCTTGCCCCAGTTTTCCATTTTCCCCTGCAGCTAGAGTTACCTGTGAGAGCCAAACACTGACATGACACTTGCTGTTGGTGGTGCCTCCTTAGGGCTCAGAGAACAAAAGTCAAAGCCCTCCCAAGACCTCGAGGTCAGAGACTGAGTGGCCAGTCTCTTGGCTTCTTCCAGCTGGGTTACTGCTCTTGTCACTGTAACTATCACTTTCAAAATCTTTATCGTCATCCTTTCTGCTCATGGGTTCTTTTTGCAGGGTACTGTTGCTGCCTGGAATATGCTTCTCACATCTTTTGCTTGATTGTATTCTGATATATTTTAGGCTTCATGTAAAATATCACAAGTCTGAAATAGAATTAAATAAATGTATACCGTGTGATCCCTGTTGTCATGGAAGTAACAAGTTCATCTTAGAGATGAGAGACTTAGCCTAGTAGGGATTTGGTGTCACTGAGACCCATCCAAAAAATGGTGCATATGGGCTGGGAAGGTGGCTCAGTGGTAGAACGCTTGCCTTGCATGCTCGAGGCCCTGGGTTCGATTCCTCAGCACCACATAAGCAAAAAGAAAAAAGCCGGAAGTGGCACTGTGGCTCAAGTGGTAGAGCGCTAGCCTTGAGCTGAAGAGCTGAGGGACTGCGCCCAGGCCCAGAGTTCAGGCCCCACGACCGGACCCCCCCCCAAAAAAAAAACAAATTGGTGCATATATACTGGCTCATAGAATTAAAACCTGAGAGCCAGCATTTATTTAGGAAAGATGTACATATATGGTCAAGGCATCTCAAACACATAAAATACTGCATTTAAATGAGTATAGCTCACAATCTACTATAGTTGAAGTCTTGGGACTTAAAGAATTTTCTGTCTTGCTTGGAGGTAGGATTAAGCACCAGTGTGAACGAGTAGCAGCTGCTGCACACCATCCACCAGAAGAAGACATGTTTCCTTTGGGAGAAGAGAGATGTGGCACATGATAGAGTGGACCTGTCATGTTACATATTGACTTTCCACCCATGTGTCTTTAGCCACAGAATTATAAACTACAGTGTGCATTTTTGCAACTGAGATCCTAAACACATTTGGTCTCTGCTCCCAGGCAGTGGTAGTGCCAGCATCTGGTTGTCTACACAAATTCCAAAATGCCCCTAAGAACTGTCGTGGGAGGTGACTGTTCAGCCTGCCTCCAGCCAAGTGGCAGACTGTCTGCCCACTCAGAGAGTTCTCACCCATACAATGTGCAGAACACATTTCTAACGACAGGCTCAATAAAATATTTCATGTGGAAATTTCCTAGAGCGAGCACTGGAGTACCTGTGCTTGCCCGGTATCAATGTCTCCAGTTCCCTGCTCTGTACCTAAGTACTTGTCCTGTCATTGTGCAGAGTGCCAAAGACTCTCAGAAGTGAGTCGGTGAATAACATTGGCACAAACTCCAATGACATATTTTGAAGGATCATTTTGCAGGTTTCAACTATTCTTGTTTTTAAATTGGTTTACTTTGACAACTAGGAAACAAGTAGTTTTATTTATGGAGAATTCTGGCAAGCCATTTGAGGTCTTCTGCACCAATTGAAATAATCATTATCATAGCATGTTTGAATTATTTCTGAGCGTATAGAACCCAAAATACCCTTTCAAAACATAAAACTGATAAAGTGAAAAATGTGAGCTCATAACAAATACCACTAAAATTTATTAATGCCTTTAATCATTTTCATTATTTTCCAAAATTCTGTATTATTTATTATTCTACTTTTAGGTTTCCCACAAAAGAAAGTTTGAGATAGACTTGGTGACACACACTGTAATCCCAGAATTCAGGAAGCTAAGGAAAGATTTGAGTTCTAGACTAGCCTGGGCTACAGATGAATAACCTGGAGTCGGGGGTGGAGGAGAGAACACTGTTGTTTCATTGGAATGTAAAATTAAAATCCCAACTCTGTCACTTACCACCTAATGACCTGGGTAATAGTTGACTTTTTCCAAACTGAATGTATCATGTATAAAGCAGGGATGGCAGTAGTATTTCCCTTATAAAGGTATAAGCCAACTTCTCTGCCTATTGAGCTAGGTGTGATCAAGACTTAAGTTTGACCAGAGCCTAGTTAGTGATCACTATACTATATCCCAGCAAAGTCTTGCTAGCTGAAACAGAATGTGTCAGGTGGAAATGGGATGGGCAGGTAAAAGGCAAAGAAGGCTTTGGCACATGCCATCTGCTAAGAGGCAGAAAAGCCAACATGACAGCCGGAGGCACTGCTTTTTGTCCACAGTGCCACCACCAAGAGCTGAGCTGCAGCTGAAATGAGACCTGGGTTCTGTAGCTCTCCTGGGCATGGTGCCTGCTTCTCTTAGGCTCTAGCCAAAAGTCCCAGGTGCACTGCCCACAGGTGGGAGCAGGTGGAGGCCAATAAGCATGTCCCATGACCCCTCATGCCAGCTTTGCCATCTGGCCTGTAAAGCAACCCAGCTCCACCCTTTTGGACATTCCTGCAGAAGCTTTTCAGGCACTCTCCTTGATTCTGCCCACTTACAGCTGTCAGTTAGCTGGCGGTAGCTGCAAGGCTACTTGGAGGATGGGTCTAAAAGGTACTCGAGCTGACGAGGCCACTGGCTTTCTGCTTGCTGCAGTCCCCCTCTGGACTCCCCTAGAGCAAGTGAATACAAGGGCTGCCCACCAGGCAATCCTCCTGGAGAGCCAAAGGAACTATCCACCTAATCTCTCCTCTTGTCTCCCTCTGGATAGATGGACTGAGGTAGACCTTTAGGCTGTTCATTACCTAGAAAAGGGAACAAGGAGATGGTGACAGCAGATCGGATTTCTGTTTCAGGCAATAGGAAAAGTCAGGAGGTTCTCAGATTGTGCTCTTGGAGTCTCCAAAGTAATCCAAGGGCAGTATATTTAAAGGTGGACCTCTGCTTCTTTTCCTGAAGCCAACATCTGTCCAGGCCCTTTTACCAAACTTAGCTTCTGCCTTCTCATTTCCTTAGCTTTACTCATTTTGCTCTTTCCTACTTTTGGTATGAATTCAGTCCTTCAGCAGCCAAGACTCTCTGTCTGGTTCTCTTTGGTCATGTAGTTGCCAAATCCTGGTTGCTTCTTTCTTTGCTAGACCCTGTAACTCTGCCCCTGTAGTGGCATCCACCTTACACTCCATCATTAGCCCATTTGGACTGCTGCTTTCCAGTTCTCTCTGCTCAGTTTTTCTGTCCTCTATCCAGATGCCAGCCTCCATAATGCTTCTGCTTCTACTCAGAAGCAGGTCTCCCATTTCCTGTGCCATGCCTACACTGCCTCATTCCTCTCAAATTCTGCATACACTGTGAGATGCCTCTTGCCTGAATGCCTCTCTATGGATTGAGTCTTGCCTCTCTCTGCAGATGCTTGGTCTTGAAGGGCAGTATATATCCCCCTCATGCCCCATGGATGACCATCTGCCTCAGGCCTTGGAGGCAGGTAGATAGAGGGTTCCCTTTCATCTGGGTCCCTTAATAAATTAAGGAAATAGCTTATGTAATGGGGTCCTCTGCTCCAAGTACTTAAAGAAGTCAAGGTACGCCCCTCCTAAGAATGTGATGGGTTTGAACTGAGGTGCTGTTGACAAATGCTTGGGCCTGAAAATGAGCCTTTGTACTGGCCAGATGAGCTGAGAAAAGATTGGGCAAGTTCATGGGTGCAGCTGTCACCAGGACCCGGTCAGCTCTCATGATGGCTTTTATGATGTATCTTTAGGCATGGGATTTAACTGTTCTGGGTATCCGCTGTATATAAAGACAGCAGTGGGTTCTGTCAGCGTATAGCTCAATGGGAGAGCACTTATCCAGTATGTATAAGGGCCTAGGTTCTATCTCAGTCCTGAAAAAGAAAAGCAAAAAAAACAGACAGAGCAGTGCCTCCATGGAGAACACTGGGGCAGAGAACATGTGAGAAGCAGTATGTAAAAAGTCTTCTAGGGCCAGCCTTCCAATCTTGGATACTAAATGCTTCCTACTTTCTCCTACAGTGGTCAGAGCACTAACATCATGGAGCTGAAGAGAGGAAAGACCTTCATTAAATCCAGCTTTTCCACAAATCTACCCATGCACATTTCCCATGAGAAACACTCAGACCTGGTAGCCACTGCTGTGGCCAGAGAGGATGCAGATTCCTGGTCCATCTCGCTGAGAGGACAGCAGAGGCCCTGCAGTGAGAAGGGCTCCCAGGCTAGTCCTGGCACCCAAAGGTATACCAGATGCCCAAACAAGGGGGCCCAGCCTGACTCTGAGGACAGTTCTATAGCCCTCTGTGGAACCACTTTCAAATTGGTGAGAAAGAGCAAGACTCATGACAGTGTTCCCGAGGCTGGGAAGGCAGCCACTGACACAGGACAGCTGGTGGGCAGTGTGAGCTTCTCAGGGTCCCCTAGTGGCCAGCGCATGATTGACTACCGCCACTTTGTGCCCCAGATGCCTTTTGTGCCAGCTGTGGCCAAGAGTATCCCAAGGAAGAGGATTTCCTTGAAACGACCCAAGAAGTGCTTCCGGAACCTATTCCACATCCGCAGGAGCAAGACAGAGAACCTGGCCTCCCTGACAGTCAAGGAGAAGAGCCTGTTCTCTCCAGGGGTCTCATCAGATGTTACAGGGCAGCAAGGCAAAGCCTTCCTCTCCCTGGGTGAAGGGCTGGGACTAGACACTCTGTGCCAGGACCTGTCTGACAGTGAGCTTCTTCCTGATTCACCCTTCGACCTCTGCAGTGCCCTATGTGAGGATGTGGCCTCACTCAAAAGCTTTGATTCTCTCACAGGCTGTGGAGAGATCTTTGCAGATGAAAGTTCAGTGCCATCCCTGGAGCTGAGTGGAGGCCCCGAGGGCTCAGCCTGGGCACCCCGGGCCCCAGAGAGCAAGACTCCCCGGGGCCCCTTCCAGGGCAGTGTGGAGCAGCTGGCATCCCCTGCCCAGAATGAGGCATCCGACTTCTCCAAGTTTTGGGACAGTGTGAATCGCTCGGTGAGGCGGCAGCAGCGCGCCCTGCTGGGCTCATGGCTGGTAGGTCCTCAGGGGACTGACACGGAGCAGCCTAAGCTGGATGTGGCTGGATTGGCCGAGCTGCCGCTGTTTCCCTGCAGGGGTCCCCCGAATGACTCCAAAGCCAGCTCCATAGACACGGGCACACCCAAAAGTGAGCAGCCGGAATCTGTGTCCACCAGCGACGAGGGCTACTACGATTCCTTTTCACCTGGCCTGGAGGAGGACAAGAAAGAGACCCCAAGCCCAGGCACCCCGGCAGTCACCTTCCCAAGGGACAGCTATAGTGGGGATGCTCTCTATGAGCTCTTCTCTGATCCCAGCGATGGCCCTGTCGGCCCGAGCCTAGATGATGACTTGTGTGTGTCTGAGAGCCTGTCAGGGCCAGCTGTGGGGACACCACTGTCCATGTGCAGTTTCCATGTGGGGGCTGAGGAGAACCTGGCTCCTGCCCCAGGCCCTGACCTGCTCAGCCAGAGCTTCCTGCAGAGCTCCTGGAGGGGCAAGGAGTGTCTGCTGAAGCTCTGTGACACAGAGCTCTCCATCACCATGGGTATTGTCAACTGGCTCCGCAGGACCCCACCAGCCCCTCCCCCAGGGGAGGCTGTAGCCCGGCCAGGTCCCCACGGGGCCCCCAAAGGAACGGCAGGGAAGCCAGAGAGCAGTAAGGATCAGGCTTCAGGTGCAAGTAGGGCCACTGTGTGCTCAGCACCCAACAGACAGGAGCTCTGGGCATGCCCTGGCAAGATGGGAGGCCAGGAGATTACAGTGGTATCAAAGGACTTGTCTCTAGAGGAAGAGACGAGAGGCTGCCCCAACGGCTCTTTCTCTCCTGAGGGGTCAGCAGTCTCCACAACAAATATTTCCAGCAAAAGCAAAGTGCAAAGCCCTCCTACCAGGCCCGGCTCTCAAAAGGAGCCCGGGCCACCTGAGAATCTGAGACGTCCTCAGGACCTGCAGTGGCCAGGTCATGGGGGAAGCACTCCAGATGCAGGGCCCATGTTAGCAGGCTGCATGGAGAGTGTGGCAGACCTGCAGATCTCTCTAGATGGCCGGTCTCCAAGGCAGGACATAGGTGATAGGCTCTTCAGGCAGCCTCAGGACTGTGGCCCTAACGTTCTGTATCAGAAACAGGGAGCTACTACCTGTGGCCAACCCTCCCTGGCCACCCGACAGGATCAGAGATATCCAGACCTTTTCCTGGAGCTGAGCCAGCTGAAGTTGGAGCCCTCCAGGATGGATTCCCAAGCTCTTCACCTCAGTGGAGAACCAGCCACTAGAGCTCAGCCCCAGGGCTATGGAACAGGTAGGACATAGGGGTCAGCTGGATCCCAAGCCTCTCTCAGCCCCTGATGCTCAGTGGAGCCCATGGGGCTTTCCCCCAGAAATTCTGGGCCATCACTAGTGAGGCTTCTCTGTGACTTCTTCAAAATGCCACTACAGCCTCAGCCCAAGAGGAGAGCCGGGAAGTGTGAGTCCACAGGCCAGCCATGACTGATGCTCTCACCAGGGCTGCATCTTTGTGACCAAAGCAGGAGAAGCTAGAACTCAATTCCGTACCTTTTGTGAAGACTGTGTTAGGGAAGAAGGGGACAAGGCCTAGACACGCAGAAGGGTGGGGTCTTTGCAGGTGGAAGCATCCCAGCTCAAGCCCAAGGCCAAGGGTAGCTGAAAGCTGCAAACACCAGGCTACCCCTCATGCAACACGTCAGAAAGGAGCCCAGGCTTAAAACTGATGGGAAGGGAACCGTCCACATTCACGTGGAGATTGAGATAGCCAGTGTGTCTTCTTGGGATGTGTGGTAAAGATGAGGCCTGAGGCTCGGGGATGGAAGACCGAGCAGGGCCCAGCAGCCTCGTCCCAGCCTCACTCCCAGACAGGGAGCCACAACATGCCAGCCTGCGGAAGACAGAATCAGCCCCATCTGAGCAACAACCTTGATCCGCTACCATTATGTGTTGCTATCCAACCCTGGCCAGACCAGGCTGACCTTTGTTGGCAGACGATGGTGGATTCTCTGTCACAGATCACCCTGTACAAATAACAATTTCCCCTAATATGTACTATCTTACGCCTTTGAATGGAAAAATGCTCTTCAGGAAGAAAATGTACAAGAATTCTTCCCAACTTACCATTCTGCCTTGGAGTAGCAAAGTCCTTGAACCTGTCTCCTCCACATTGTCATCTCCTTTTCTAGAAAATTCCCCCTTTGGAAAGGGCTTCCCTCCCCTTCCCAAGCCACAACACACATAGAACAAACACCAGAACATTCAGAATTGAGAAAGGAGAGAATGCTAGTGTCTTTTGGAAGGGCAGGTGTCATTCCTGGTTCAGCATCTGGACAGCAGGTGTGGGGAAACACACTAGTTTTGATGGCTGGAAGAGACACGGGAGGAGTTGCCGACAAGTTGTAGTCCCCAAAAGTGGTAAAGGCTTTGTGCCTCTTCTAGGGGTCTGATATTTGACTTCAGGTTAGAAATGCTCTCCCACTCCCCCTGGTGCAAAACCACATGCTGTCTACAGGGTGTTGGCTGTGGGTTGTAAGTTTAAAAGGGTCACCCAGATCTAGACACAGAAGAGGCTCAGGGTTGCCTCCTGTGCAGATCATCGGATACCTCCCCCAGGGTTAAATCACCGAGCTTGTCTGCATGGAGGCTATGCTGGAATCGGCCTATCCAATGCCTGCCCACGTCTAAGTTCTGACTCACTTGAACTGGAGAGTGCTGATATGTGCTGCCCATGCCAAACACAGGTAGTGTGAAGCTGGCAGGGCTCGAATCCCACTCCTGGCTCCTGAGGTCCTGCTCTACCGCGGGTTCTATAACTTCTGGCTGAGTTCTCATAGCAGATGCCCCTCTGATCATTACCCTTACCTTCATCCAGGGCACAGGTGCCTGAGCACTGGAGAGTGCCAGTTTGTGTCGGCTGTAAAGAGTCTGAGAGCCCAGGGACAAGTCACCCTTCTTTACTCACAGCCCTGTGGCTTTGTGCTGTTCTTGTTAGAGTATGTGCTCAGTAAATACTTGTTGAAAGAATGAAATGTTCAAGTGTCAAGTGTGTTTTTTGATTTCTTGTTGACTATGAGCCTTGTTTCTGGAGAAAAATGGAGCTGGAGTGTAAACACAGCCCTGCTTGAAACTCATATATCCCCCTGGCCGAGGGCCGCATTTCCTCCCCAGGGCAGTGTCTCCTTCCCCTGGCCAAGGGCAGTGTTTGCTCCCCAGGGCCTCAGGCCTCTGCCTGGCCAAGGGACACATTTCCTCACAGTGACTTGGGATGCAGTGTGACGCTGCAGAACCAAGCCAGTCTAGAAGTAAAGTTCAGAAACAACCAGCTTAAGTCCTTGCTACTTGAGAGATGGAGATGAAGAAATCATGGTTCTAGACTATTCTAACTATAAACCTTTGTGAATGGCTGGAAACAACAGCATGTACTTATTCTTCTAGCTCTGTGGGTGTGGGGCACAATATCTGGGCACAGTGGAATGTACTTACCCCCAGCAACATGATTGTGGGGAAAGTATAAACATGCAGACCACAGTTCAGGCTGGGTCAAGTATAAAGAGACCCTATCTTGAACTGATGCAACAAGGGGTGTGGGGAACCGGAGGCAAAGAGGGCTGGAGGCATGACATTGCTTAAGTGGTAGAGCCCAAGCTTGAGTCCCTAGTTCAATTCTTAGTATAGCCAAGTAAAAAATGCAAACCCAGACAGTAAGGCATGGCATCAGCAGCAAGGACCAAAGTGCACTGGGAACTTGGAGTTATCGTTGGAGGTCTTCAGTGACCTGACAGGGCAGCGAAACTAAAAGCCAGGGCCAGCCTTCTTGAGCAGAACTGTAGGCCACTGACTTGGCCCCTGAGGAAGGGGCATGTTAAACAATCTCAGTGCCCTGAGATTCCCATTCAGAGTCTGGGTGGAGTCCTGTTAGGCTGTGGAAGAGGGTGGTGTGAGTTTCCTTGGAGTTTCCCTGTCTGCTGCCCAATCCTCAAAGCTGCTCTCCTGTGAGACAGCACCAGGCAGTGCCAGCCTAGCCACCTCAGTAATCAAGGTGTCACAGTGAGAAGAAACTTCAGGGCCAGCTGAGGTGCCTGGCCTGGTGCTGGCGTGGAAAAGACCCAGCTTCATCTGCATTGTTATAGCTCTGTTCATTTCTAACCACTTCTCTCACTCATGGATGGGGAGTGTGTGTGTGTGTGTGTGTGTGTGTGTGTGTGTGTGTGTGTGTGTGTTTATGTGTCTGTCTCCTGGGGGCTTGAAATAGGCATTGTCCCTGAGCTTTTTTTTATTCAAGATTAGAGCTCTACCACTGAGTCACAGCTCTTTTGGGTGGTTAATGAGGGATAAGAGTCTCATGGACTTTCCTGCTCAAACCAGAATTCTCAGACCTCGGCCTCTTGAGTAGTGAGGATTACAGGGCATGAGCCAGCAGCTGCAGAATTTTACCTCTGTGATTTGGGTTCAGCCATTGCACAAAGCCTGAGTGACTCACCCAGGGTCACACAGTGCTGGGGTGAGCCAGCAGGCTGGAACGCGTTGAGTGAGGCAAGGAGGGCTGGTGTTTGATGAGAAGGGCTGGTAAGGGGTTGAGATGAATGGGGTGGAGGTAGATTGAAGTATGTGATAGAGCGTTACAAGAAGCCTTGAAAAAGAGGCTCGAAGGCCAGGACAGAAAGGAGGGAGAAAGAAGAGCCTGAAGACTGTACCAGGAAGTATTTCTCATCTGTTCTGGTTTTCTATTTTAGTTTCTGTAATAGGAATAAATACGTAGACTAGAAAGCCAAACAATGCAGAAAGGACAACCTCAAAACTCACATTTCCACCCTTCTTCCTTTCCTCTGTTGTTACAAAATTAGTTGACACCAAAATATACCCTCAGCAGCACTTCTTCCTCTTCTCAGATTCTGACGTATGGTCCCAGCGTCTTTCCAAGCCCATGGCATGAACACACATGAACATCAGTCACCCTTTTTCACTGTCCAGCTGGTCCTCTTTGGCTCAGAGCTGTCTTTGAAACAGTACAAGCAGTTTCTGAAGGTAGTAATTAAATACTTCTTTAGTCCTTTGGCATTCAAAGCATTCCCAATTTATTCTCCTACGTACTCTCTGTGAAAATCCTCTTCAACATTCTAAAAGCAAAGCTTCCCTTGGTGCTGAAAAGATTGATTTCTGTTGTTGAAAAGTGCCTCTGGATTCTGTGGCCCTGACCCGTTGTGCAGCTGTCTTGGGCCTGCTCACACATGAGCCTCCATTCACAAGAACATATTGCTCACATCATTGGAATACAGCAGTTGCTTTTTTGTTATTACACAAAAAAATGCCTCGAGGTCATAATCCTATCGTTCAAGAAGAAAAAGCTGAACAAACTGAATTTCAGTGACTTTCCTTGGCCATCAGAGAGCTAACAAGGACACATGATCACTTTGAAAGCTGGAGGAATGGCATGCATCCAGAGAAATATGGGCACCCAAATCCATGAGTTGGAGCCAAAGTCTAGAGATGCCAAGAACTGGCAGGAACATGACTACAAATTTTGACAAGTTATTATAGGCTGAGTGGGAAGTTAGGGTCCTAAGACAGGGCAATAAAGAGAAGCCTGGAGCTACTCCAATAGCTGAGGGGTGAGGGCCCCGTGGCCCTGATGGGGGTGCTGGGAGGTGGCCTCTTTCTCAACAGAGGTAGTCACGAGGGGCAGGGCGGGGGAAGCTGTCCTGAAATCTTCATACTGAAGGAAGGGACTTCACCCCCTGTAGTCCTCTCCTGACTTCCTGATCCACCGAAAGAGAAGAAAATATAACAGACAGGAAGTGGAGGACTAGCTGTGATACCAGCACGCCAGAGATAGGAAGGTCAAATATTTGAGGCAAGCTTGGACTACAGTCAATTTGGGCTCCATGAGACTCAGTCTCATAACAAAAAGTGAACAAACAACAGCAAAACATACAATGGAATACTATTCAGCCTTAAAGTGGGATGAGGTTCTGGCCTAAGCTACAGCATAGATGAACCTTGAAAATATAATATTAAGTGAAATGGTCCAAACACATAAAACACGTATCTAGAATAGACAAGTATGTGGAGACAAAATGTAGGATGGAGATTATTAGAGCTGATAGGTAATTTTTAATGGGCTCATTTGAGGAGATGAAAAATTCTGAAAGCCAGATACTGATGCACTGCAAAAATAGCTGCTCAGGAGGCTAAGATCTGAGGGTCAACGTTTGAAGACAGTCCAGGCAGACAAATCCAAGAGACTATTTTCTTTTTTTTTTTTTTTTTTTAATTTTATTTTATTTTATTTGAGAACATACTGTACAGAGGGGTTACAATTACATGGGCAGGATAATGCATACATTTCTTACCAAGCATTGCATCCTCCTCCTTTGTTTACCCTTCACCTCCCTT